GCTCTTCCACCGGCTGACACCCACGCCTGCTCAGGGTTACTAGCAAACTCCAGCTGCTCCGTGGGAGAGCAAATCCAGAGCATTCTGCCCCGAGGCCGGCTGCGAGGCGACCCGAGCCAGCGGACCATGAAACTGACTAATTGGTTATAGCCTTGCTGCAGACCCAGATGAAAGCAAAGCAGATTCCGCTCGGATTCCTTCTTCCGGCGCGCCGAACTTCGCACCAAGGTGACACGAGGCCGGCGGGCAGGGAGCCTTGAGCTCTGCTTGATCCGTCAGCCATGGAATTATTCTTGGGTGCCGAACACGTGGGAGTCACATGCTCGGGGGCTGCCCTCCCAGCTGCTTCAGGCTCCCTGCGTCATTGTGCTGGATGCAGGAATGTGGGTCTCCGAGCTCCCTCCCCTCAACAATCCCCACTCGCTCTCCTGACTCCCTTAGGTCTGGTCCTACATTGGGTAACGTCCATCCACATTCTCCCGTGGCTCCACGTACCCTGCCCCAGCTATCGCCTCTCCTAGACTTGCACACCAGGAGAGGCAGGGAGGTAAGTGGGCCATGTGAGCTGGAGTGAAAGGAAAGAAACTTACATTGCTCGGTGGAGATCACTCATCGGTGAGAGACAGAGGACAAAATCCTGCAGGTGAGATCAGTCTGTACATGTATGTATGTATCTGTCTGTCTATCTATCTACGGGTGTGTCTAGACTACAGGGGTTTTTCGAAAAAAAGGAACCTTTTTTCAAAAAAACTTCACCAGCGTCTAGACTGCTGCTGCGTTCTTTCGAAATTTAGTCGAAAGAACGCGGCAGTTTTCTCGACCGCGGTAAACCTCATTTTACGAGGAAGAATGCCTTTTTTCTAAAGTGCTCTTTCGAAAAAAGGCGTTCTTGAATGCAAACAGGGCTTTTTTGAAAGAGAGCATCCAGACTGTCTGGGTGCTCTCTTTCGAAAAAGCGGCTCACTTTTTCGAAAGAAGTGGTTGCAGTCTAGACGCTCTCTTTCAAAAGAGGTTTGTAGCCTATCTATTTAACCCAATTCTATCTATCTATCTATCTATCTATCTATCTATCTATCTATCTATCTATCTATCTATCTCAGTGTGTCCCCACCAGGAGCAGCAATTCCATTTCTCAATGCATTTCCTGTGACACATCCTTTAGTCTGGCATAATTTTCATTTTAAAAATACAAAGCCTTTCTTCACTAATTTTTCAAACCCCCCACCCTGCAGTGATCCCTGGGAACACATGCAGTGCAGTTGTAGTCATATGGGTTCCCAGAAGACTCCAAACAAATAAGCCTGTGGTTTCGTGCTATCAGTTTTGCGTTCTTAAAATGTTGACCCAGATTGAAGCACAGGGGCAGCTCCAAGCAGGTAGCTGCCTTTTAATGGAGGGGGTAACTTTCTTTAGATCGTCTCCCTGTGACTGGATTTGAACCAGGTGCTTTGTAGTCATCCTTGAGGATAACTCATGTCCTGGATTAGAGAGATTGCGATAGGGGCTTGGCAGAATTTGATTTTTGTTCTTTGATCATTTTGATGGAGAACCTTGATGGTTATTTGTAAGCATTTTTAGAGGCTTATCGATGTAGACGGTCACAGTTGTAGGAAACTGCAGCGATTTGAAATCTTAGGGTACGTCTAGACTACAGGCTTTTGTCTGTACAGATACTGACAAAGCTTCTGTCGACAAAGAGCATCTAGACTACATCCAGTTCTGTTGACCAAGCAAGCCGCTTTGTCGACATGAGAGCGTAGACACAAAGGACAGTGTAGATGCAATAACGCCTTCTGTCGACAGAACTCTGTCAACAAAAGGCGTTATTCCTCGTAGAATGAGGTGTACCGCCGTCGACAAAACTGCCACGTTCTGTCGAAGTCATGTCGACAGAACTCGGCAGTAGTGTAGACGCAGGTATAGTTTTGTTGACAAAAGGCCACTTTTGTCGACAAAACCCTGTAGTCTAGACACACCCTTAGGGTACGTCTAAACTACATGCCTCCGTCGACGGAGGCATGTAGATTAGCCAGATCGGCAGAGGGAAATGAAGCCGCAATTAAAATAATCGCGGCTTCATTTAAATTTAAATGGCTGCCCCGCTCTGCCGATCAGCTGTTTGTCGGCAGATCGGGGCAGTCTGGACGCGACGCGCCGACAAAGAAGCCTTTCTTGATCGGCACAGGTAAACCTGGTTTCACGAGGCATACCTGTGCCGATCAAGAAAGGCTTCTTTGTCGGCGCGTCGCGTCCAGACTGCCCCGATCTGCCGACAAACAGCTGATCAGCAGAGCGGGGCAGCCATTTAAATTTAAATGAAGCCGCGATTATTTTAATCGCGGCTTCATTTCCCTCTGCCGATCTGGCTAATCTACATGCCTCCGTCGACGAAGGCATGTAGTCTAGACACACCCCTAGTGTCCACACCTCAGCATTTCCCTATTCCTAAAATTACCATGTTATATAGACCACGGCCTGGGGGCCAACTCCAGTAGTGCCAGCAAACGTCACGATTTATCCTAACTATCCACTACGGTCTCAAGTACCCTTCTTACTTTGCTTCTCTGCCAATGTCAGTGACTGTTGCTGGGAATAGTTTTACATTGGTTTGTGGATGAAATCAGCCTTTTTACCAACATTTCCTGATACCAAGAATAACTTTTCAAGCGTCCACAAATGCTATGCAGCCTGTTCTGGGAGGATAAAGACGCTGATAAATGATCAAGACAGACGCAGCTGGATGTAGTTTCTCTGGACAGCCACACTGGGACCACAGTAACCAGAATAAACCATCTTGTTTTATTAGTTAGGAAAGAAGCAAGGAGAATTTGCACCAGTCGGCCTCTGCTGGGTTGAGAGGGGAGGGAATGTGGGGCTGGAGAGGACTAATGATTGCCCTATAAGAGAGTGCCTGGGGATGGGATGGGGCACCAAGGGGCTGATGATGGGCTGCATGGGGAAAACTCACATTGCTATTTCCAGGTTCTCCGAAGGATCCAGATATGTTTGAACCAGTGCTCCCTGTAAACTGAGCGCTTGAGCAGGCACCCAGGAGAGATTCAAGTGATTAGCAGAGTGCCCACAACCTCCCACAGCCGGCCGCATGTGTTTCTATTGATGGTGCACATCTGCACATACTTTTGTGCACATAACAAAATTGATTCCACACACGAATGGACACAATTAAAGGGAACATTGGTCAGAACATTGGGGGAATTTCCCTCACTGGGCAGGGTCTGAGCTTTGACCAGTCCCTAGAACTAAAGTTTGACGTTGGAGAAAGGTGCTCACCGCTCCAGAACAGGACTACTCCCAGGTGCTGTTTGCTCGGGGTTTTGCTGGGTTTCCCTCCTGTTTGCGCGTGGTGACCCCCTCTGCCTTTCTTCTCCCTCTCTCAGGTCAGGGGCAGCCTGGCTACTATAAGAGCTGGTGGAGATGGGGCGTGTTCTGCTGCACCTGGGATTCCTCATCACAGTTCTCCAGCAGCTAGGTAAATACTGGGGGTGTCACCACATGGCTGCTCTGTCCGGGTTGGGTTGGGATGGGGTTCCATATAAGTCCGGTTCCCCAGCACCCAAGGATCTCAGAGCACGCTGCAGGCAGTCAATAATAAAGCCTTGATATTCTATTCTGTGAGCTGTCCCCATCATTGTGGTACCTGATCAACTTGCAACCTCCCCGGGAGGCAGCTTAATATTAGAGTTGGTTACATTTTTAAACACAACATTTTTTTTTGCTGTTGTCCCAAACCAGCCCTGGCCCGTTTTTCGATATCACATCTGGGCTGGTCAGAGTGCTCCCTTATTCACGCTGCTTGGGCTCAGCATAAGATCTTCTAATGCTCTGCCACCAGGGCTGGCTCGAGCCATTCCTGCACCCCGGGCAGCAGGCGCGTTTCGCAGGCACGGCTCCACCCCCAGGCGCATGGCGCATGCGTGTCCCCGGCACACAGTGCCCCTCATCAGGCACCCCCCATAGGTTGGCACCCCGGGCAGCTGCCCGGCTAGACCACCCCTCTTAATCCGGCCCTGTCTGCCACGTATAGCTGAGACTAGTTTAAATGAAGTGTTTTACACACAGCCCCACGTAATGGCTGAACAATACAGTTTAATTTTTTTGCTCCGCCTTTAAATTCTACACCACGCAGTCTCTGAAGGTCAATCAGGCTGCTGAGTGTTTCCGAATGGCACCGGGTTTCCTAATTACGCGACGTGAATGTGTAACAGCATGGTTGTCCAGCTGTCTGCTCGTTACGCCTGACTGTGCTTGGTTTGTAATCCTTGGGTCATCTTCTTGCTCTGCATCTCCTCTCTGCAGAGGCTGCTCTTTTGATTGTTTCTCCGGATTAGTGGTTTTTTCAAGATGTTTTTCTCATGACTCAGTTGAAGAAAATCATTGGTGCCGCGACCAAGCATAATTTGTGATTAGGGTGCTGGCTCCAGGTGGGGCTGAGGAGAAGTTTTGGGGCATAGGAGGGGGCTCCATCTTTGGGGGGAGCCAAGCCGGGGCAGGAGGGGCTTACCTTGAGCAGCTCCTGGTCAGTGGCTAGTGGGGGTGCTAAGGCAGCTTTCTGCCTCTCCTGGTACCACAGACCCCCAGAAGCAGCCAGCGGCAGGTTCCCAGCCAATGGGAGTGCGCAGCTAGTGCTCAGGGCAGGGGCAGTGCATGGAGCCCTGTGCGCTCTTCCCCCACCCCACCTAGGAGCCGGGCCTGCTCTTGGCTGCTTCCAATGCCAGGACAGGCAGGGAGCTGCCTTAGCTCCCCCACTGATCACCTGACCCTCCCCCCTCTCCCCCCTCCGCAGCAACCAGACCTAAAATGAAAACCACTGCCCCAGAGGAACAAAGTGTAGGTGTCGATGGTTTCCATTGAACCCTTCACCATCCTCTCAGCCACAGATGATCTGGGTGCTGAATTCTTTTTCTTGATAGCAGCTGGAGTCGTCCATTTTTTTTCTCCATCCAATTTGACCTGAGTGCTGTCACCATGTCTGAGGCCTGGCTGTTCTCTGAGTGACATCTGCAATATAAGGGTTCATCAGCTCTTTTAGCCTTGTTATCTGATACAGCTCTTCCTTTCATGTCTGGCCACTTGCTTTTTTTTCTAAAGTTGGGGCAGTAGTTTTGAATTGTTTTCCCATAAGGAGTGGTGCTGGATTATAACCAGTAGATGCTATTGGTGCTGATCATTCCAAAAAGCAAGGACTGGGTCTTCCTGCTGTGGGTGTTTCTTGGCCGTCTGTCCAGCTCTCTCAGCCATTCCAGTCGTTTATGGGTAATGTGTAGTAATAGGATCAAAAGTATGTTTTGTTCGGAAAAACGACAATTCTGCTGCAGTGAATTGTGGTCTGTTTGTCTGTTGCTAGGTGCTCTGGAATACCAGCGTGAGCAAAAGTGTACCACCGTTTGTCAATAACACTGCAATATGTTCTGTCTGTTAAGCACCTTATTTCTGTATGCCTGGAAAAATAGTCCACCATTATCAGGTAATAGGGTTGCCAGGTGTCCGGTATTCACCCGGACAGTCTGGTATTTTTGCCTCATGTCCAGCCTATCCCTATTCCGACTGTGTGCACTTAAAGGGGCCAAGCTGTTTTAATGCTGTTTTATATTTATTTATTTATTGCTTAATAACTCTCGGGGTCCCTTTTTGCTCAAGAACTTTGGTCTCCCCCTTTTTTCCCCCTCAACAGAATTTTTTCTCTGGTTTTTTTTTGGGGGGGGAGTAGGAGGTTTAGTATTTTTGGTTAAACCATCTGTCGACCCTACCAAGTAATGTCCCCTGAACTAGCATAAATCAGGCAGGGATGTTTGTACACTCTGTGGGTCAGCATTGTCTCTGGATTGGTGCTGGATCTTTTTTCAAAAGTCTAATATCATCCAGTCCTCCATCAAGTTCTAGCTTTCTCACTGGGCCCATCATGACTGCCAAGCTGCAGCTGAGAAGGCTGTAGGTCTGTGGTCCTTTGATCACATTCACTCTGAGCGAGCAGCTGTTTTCTTCATAGATGGTTTTCACAATGAACTGGCCCTTGCACCTTAGAAGGGCTAGTCAGAGCTGTGTCAGGTGTTGGGTTGAAGGTAGCTGTAGGATCCTTCTGAGATAATTGTGAAGTCAGCTCCTGCATCAATTTTACAGACAATAGTCTTTCCAGGAATATTGAGTTTCACTCTCCAGGCAGGTTCTAATCACAAGTTATTGATCCTCAAAACACTGGCTCTCCATGGTCTGTAATATGAGTTAACTCCCTGACTGCTTTGGGGAGGCAAACAGTTGTACAATGTTCATATTTCATGCATTTACGACACCACATGCCTCTGGCTCGATGTGTATCTCTGGAGCTCTGACTTTTTCCTCATCTTGTGCATTTAGGCTGGAATTTGTCCTTCTTTGCATCTTTCTTCAGATGCTGTTTGAAGTGGGTGGTGACCATGAAAGCTCATGATACTATTTATATATTTTTGTTAGTCTCTAAGGGCACATCTACATGGCAGGGCAAAAGTTGAATTAAGCTACGCAGCTTCAGCTACGGCAATTGTGTAGCTGAAGTCGAAGTAGCTTCATTTGGCTTTTGGTGCTGTCTACACAGCAGGAAGTTGAAAGACGAACACTCTTCCTTCGACTTCCCTTACTCCTCAGACTTTTCTCAAGTACCCCTAAGGGTTCTCATACCTCTGGTTGAGAAACACTGCATTATAATACAATTTAAAAGTGTGGGGGAAAGGGATCAGGATAGGGTGCATGGCAGTGGTGACGCCGCCAGGACAGGCACTGCCCCCCACAGCCTGCTCTGGTCCAGCCCCCACAAACAGGCAAAGCCCCCCCAGCCTGCTCTGGTCCAGCCCCCCCAGACAGGCACTACACACACAGTCTGTTGTGGTCCAGCCCCCCAGACTGGCAGTGCCCTCTCAACCTACTCTGGCACAGCCCCTCCCCCCCACTGCAGGCCACCCCACAGCTGCTCTGGCACAGCCCCTCCCCTGGCCTGTTCTGGTCCTGCCCACCCCAGCACAAGCACTGCCCCCCCACCCCATCCCCTGTGGATGCAGCCAGGGCTTAGGAGAGCTGTGGAGCAGTGGCTCTGAAACAATTTTTGCCGCCTTCCCTTAGCCCTCTCAGTGCCCCGCACTGTTCCCTAGAGCTGGGACCGGCAGCAGGGACCCTGTGTGCAGAGTTGGCGGCTGGGACTATGGGTCCAGCAGTGGAGCCCCTGGGGCTAGTGGCCAAGTGGAACCCAAGGCTGCCAGCACAGCCTTCAGATGGCAGTGGGCCTAGTGGCCAGGACACAAAACCTGGAGGTGCTGCAGCACCACCCACACCTCTACTTCCTGCACCCATGCTGGGGGTGGGGGATGGGATTGGGACAAGGTGTCTCCAGGGGCTGCTACTGGGAAGAGGGAGAAGTTAGGAGGGGAGAGGTGAAGGCAGCTGTGGGGTGGGGAGGCTGTGCAGGGCAAGCCCTTTCTCTGCTGCTCCAGCTGCAGGACAGAGCTATGGGATCCAGGCCCAGCCAGCTCCCCAGGGACCAGAAGTCGCTTCCCCGTGGTGTCCTGGGGGCAAGCAGCTGCGGGATTCTTAGATCATTGTCCCTCCTCTCCCCCGTGTTTGGCCTAAGCCACAGCTTCCCAATTCCTTGCTCCAGCTGCTTCTGCCCCACCACTGACCCTAAGTGTATACCCCAAAGCCAGGGAGAGAAGGCACTTGGAGTTTACAAACACTCTGTCCTGTCCCGAGACTCCGTCCCCAGATTCGAGCTGCGGCCGTGTTTGTCAGTGGTTTCCTGTAGCAGCTGTTTTCCATATGTTCGTTTTCCAAGGAAGAGACAAGGAACGTGGGCCCTGGCCAGGATCCTCTCACACAGGGCGGGTTTTGAAAGGGGCTTTAGGGGCTGCAGGCCAGGGTCCTGGGGCTAAGAACTGTGGCCACTCCCAGCCTGCTGCCTACCTCCCATCCAGACCCTAAACCCTCACCCTGCTCCTGCATCCTACCTCCTACCCAAACCCTGCACCCCCACCCCCACCCCAACCCACTCCTGTACCCTACTTCCTGCCTAGACCCCCCACCTCCATCCCCAGTCCACTTCCACACTCCATTTTCTGCCTACAGCCTACACCCCTACCCCCAGCCGGCTCCTACACTGCACGTCCTGCCTAGACCCCGCTGCGGGGGTCCCCACATTCCCACCCTGCTCCCAGGTAGCCCCTTTCTGGACACTGAACCCCTTATTTCTGGCCCCACCCAAAGCCTCGGGGGCCCCACAAAATCTAAGAAACCTACTAGCCTCGGGCCCCCAGAACAGTTAATCGGGCCCTGCCCTCACACCTTTCTGACAGGCTGAGCTCTTCACGCCAGCGCCCTGACTGATTCCCAGCTCCGCCTCCCCCTGTCCATTTGGACCCGGGTCTCTCCGCTTCATTGTGCTCGCTGTCGCTGTGCACTGATGAGCAGCTGCCGCATCCCACCTGGGCGGGAGGAGGGGGCGAGGAGGCTGCCTGTCTGTGGTGGTTGGAGAGACTCTTCAGCTGCATGTGTGATTGATAAAACATGGAGGGCTCCTTTGGGCGACACGGGTGTGCTTCCCTAGGCTCTGTGCTGCTGGCATCATTGCTGGTCCCGCGGTCCCTTCATCTGTGTCTTCTTCATGGGTTCTTCTGGTGCAGGGCAGGGGAGATGCCCCAGGCTGGCTGGCTCGCGGTGGTGGCACAGGCCCGTACACAGGAATTTCTGTGTGTGTGTGGGGGGGTGCTTTTTATGTAAAGGTGGACCCAGGCCTCGCTCCTGAGGTGGGGAGAGGGATGGGGGAGGGAGGCTCAGCCGTGTGTCATTCCTGCCTTCCCTCAGCCAGCCAGAGCATGCTTGGGGGGACTATAGGAGGTTGCATTCCCACCCTTCACACACATATACACCCCGCTGTATACAGGCCCAAAGGGAGTTGCTGGAAGCAAATTCCAGGCTTTTGTGTATGATGGTCCTCATTACAGAGTGTAAGACAGCAACAATGATATACTTTAATAGCTTCTATTTGTACCAAACTTTTCATCCCAAGACAGCTCCGTACACTATACAGAATACAGGCAAAATATTCTGACCTTGTTCGCATCCACGTACATCCCCTTCAAACCAATAAATGGACCGCCTGACGCCAACCATATTTATATATTTACACGCAGTAGGGTCTGTGGAGGGTCATCAGCCCCTGGTGGACTCACATTTTTTGCTCTCCTTCAGCTAAATATCTCAACAGCTGGATTCTTACAAGAACTAAAGAGACCACCCACAGTTTGAGGAACGGCCTCATAAATCTGGGTCTGTTTTGAAACTGGCACATGACCTAGTCAGTGGGCATAAAAGCCTTATAACACAAGAGTAAGCTAGACAACAAATGAAAAAAGGAGAATCAACTGTGTTTCACCGAGAGCATGGCTTTCTACCAGGCGTCCTGATGCACATGCTGCTGCTACTGCAGCTTAGCGCTGGTTAAAGCTGGAAATTAAAACAATACCACCAATAACTTTTACAGCATAGAAAACACGGGTTTGGCTTAGCTATTGAAAAGAATTAAAGTTCTATGGGGGATGGGGAGATGAGTCTACACTGCACCCTTAGCTTGAAAGAAGCTACGCAATTTGAGCTATGCAAATTGTGTAGCTTATTTCGAGTGTATTTTGAAATAGCTTATTTCGTAATTTGGTGCTGTCTGCACAGCGCCAAATTTTGAAATAAACCGCTATCCTGAAATGCCTCTTAATCTTCATTGAACAAGGTTTACAGGGACGTAGGAATAGCATACCTGTTATTTCAAAAGATATTTCGAAATAATGGGCGCACTGTCAAGACACAAAATAGCTATTTTGGGATACCGGAAGTATCCAAAAATAGCGCCGCAGTGTATATATACTCAGAGAGATTATAATGAAATCTCTTCTCTCCTCTCCAGTCTCTAAGGATATGTCTACACAGCAGGGCAAAATTAAGCTACGCAGCTTCACCTTTATGTCATTTCAAACTTCACGTCAATTGTGCAGCTGAAGTCGAAATAGCTTAACTCAGCTTTTGGCGCGGTCTACACAGCAGGAAGTCAAAGGAAAAACACTCTTCCTTCGACTTCCCTTACTTCTAGTACAAAGAGGGTTACAAGAGTTGGAGTAAGAAGTTCTCCAGCTCAACATTATTTCAAATAATGACTTGCGGTGTAAACGTGTCAGTTATTCCAAAATAGTGCTGCTGTGTAGTCGTCCCCTAAGAAATTGGATAAGAAATGGTTTTCCTGGGAAGCCTGTGTTCTTCTAAACAACATAGTTGAGGGTGGAAGCCTTCTTGATAGCACGTGTGGTAGGGCCAGAGAACATTTTTGAAAATAAAACCTTCTGGGCTTGATCCAGCTGACAATATCCACAGCCTACTGGGCCAGGCACATTTCGTACGCTCACAGATGTTGGCTCCTAGCAGGAAACTCGCTCCTGGAGGAGATCAGGGGGAAGGGAGAGATTCAGCTGGCTGGAGCAAGGGGAGAGAGGCTGCGGGAGCGCACCGCTCCTGCCTTCTCCCGGCTGGAATTGACCCCAGGGGGGAACCATGGAGGAGTGCATTCGTACCCTTTGCACCCCTCTGCGCACGGGCCTGGGGTGACAAGGCCATGGGGTTGGCTTGCTGGTAGGATGTAGTTCTGATGTATGGCAGTGGTGAGAAGGCTCTAGGCTTGGTTTGCTGGGACAGTGTAGTTGTGTTTGGGCAATAGGATTGACTTGTAGGCATGGTGTAGTTCTCTGATATGGAGGTAGGGTGGATGATAGGACTGGCTTTCTGGGATGGAGTAGTTCTGGCGGTGTGTGGTGGTGATGGTGACAAGGCCTGGCTCGCTGGGATGGTGTAGTTCTGGTCTGGCTTTCTGGGATGGAGTAGTTCTGGCGGTGTGTGGTGGTGATGGTGACAAGGCCTGGCTCGCTGGGATGGTGTAGTTGTGGTGGTGACAAGGCCATAGGCCTGGCTCAGTTGTAGTCAGAGGCTCCATTCAGGACCAGATTCTGCTGGGTTCTGATAACGTCAGGCCAGACTCCTGCTCCCCAAGGCTGTGACTAAAAGGGTGTCACAAGGAGGAAGGAGAAAATTTGTTCCTCTTGGTTACTGAGGACAGGACAAGGAGTAATGGGCTTAAAGAGCAGCAGGGGAGGTTTAGATTGGACATTAGGAAAAAATTCCTAACTGTCAGGGTGGTCAAATATTGGAATAAATTGCCAAGGGAGGTGGTGGAATCTCCCTCTCTGGAGATATTTAAGAACAGGTTAGATAGACATCTGTCAGGGATGGTGTAGACGGAGCTTGGTCCTGCCTTGAGGGCGGGGGGCTGGACTCGATGACCTCTCGAGGTCCCTTCCAGTCCTATGATTCTATGACTGTGCTTTGCTCTTCCCTAGCCTGCCCGGCTGAGCCGTGTGCGAACACCTCCCACACCCAGCTGCTGGCCCAGGCGGGGGAGAATGTCTCCATGAGCTGCCTCTTCCTAGTCTACGACCCCAGAAAGGCCCCGAAGGTCCAGTGGAACTATAGGGGTGAGACCGAGAGCACGGCTGTCAACCTCTATCAGACCAGAGATGGGGTCGAGCGCTCCTCAAGCTACCAGCCACGCTTCCAGGGCAGGACATGGGTTAACGCCACGGGGCTGGCCCACGGCGACGCCACCCTGCACCTTGCCGGAGTCACAATGTCTGACCAAGGGAACTTCTCGTGCTGGGTGAGCCTTGGCTTTGACTGCGTGTCGGTGGAGGTGCAGCTCTTGGTCAGTGGTAAGTACCAAGGAGGGGCATGTTAGGTGGAGAGGCCTCCGGGCCCTCTGGGTTCTCAGCCTTGGGGGGAAGGGAATCTCAGAGCCTCTCCTCCTCGGTTCCCATGCCTCCCCGTTCCTGCTCGTGGTAGAGCTATGCTATGCTGTGGTACCATGATGCCTGGGTCTTTGGGCTGATGACATGCCAGTAGCGTGCCCTCCCATCAGACCAGTCTCCAGGGGTGGCCAGGCGAAGTGCGATGCCAGCGTAACATGGCACGGCAATGCAGGTAGCGCAGCCCCCCAGAGGCCGCCGCTCTACAGGCACTGACATCTGCACATGCCAGCAGAACCTCTGCCAGGGTCTCTAGCAGGAAAGCCCCAGCGGCTACGAGCAAGGGGGTTGGCATTTGATATCTGCTAAGCAGGGGCTTTGCTTGCTTAGGGCCTGGGTTTGGGGCCTTCCCAGCAGATCAGTTTGGGAAGCCTTGAGTGGCTCACCCCTTTTCCTTCCTTCTTCTTTGCAGAACATAACCAGCAGAGGATCCTGGACTGCGGGCTTGCAGCCACCTGCTACCCCGGCTTGGTGCTTGCCCTTGCCACAGCAGTTACCCTGTGTGTGTGAGCGCAGGGACGGGGGCTAGACCCCGACTGGGAAAGGAAGCCTCCATGTGATCAAAGGGGACAGCCTCCTCCTCGGACATGCCAGCCTCACTCACATCCCAGCCCTGCAGATGGCACGGGGTCCTCCAAGACAGGCTGGCATGTGAAACACAGACATTTGGGACACTGAGAGCTTGTCTACACTCAAACACGGTTCTGGCATGGCTGTGCTTTAGTCTAGACGTAACCTGTGCCAACGGCAGGGCTTTTCCCATCACTGTTGTTAATCTACCTCCCCAAGAGACGGTGGGTAGATCGATGGAAGAAGTTGCCCCTGCGATGTCTGGTCGGGGACTTATATTGGCTCACCCATGTTACTCACATCCCTGGGTGGTGTAATTATTCTGACCTGATTTTCTATTTTAGACCAGGCCTTGGGGTCTTGCATTTCTCCTCGCAAGGCAGCCCGCACATGCTGCTACCGCTGCCTTACCAGCACACAGGGCATCTGTCCCGGCTTGAAGGGCTTTTCACAAATGACTCCATCTCTCAATGAGTTTACCAGGCAAAAGTGGACAAGCAGCATCCGGAGTCACGAAGCACCAAAGGGCTCGGAAAGTGATGTTTCCACTGCAGCTTCTCCTCAAGCCTGAAATGGAGAATGTGTCCCACAAAACTGTTTCTCCCTGGTAAACACGCAGCAAACTCGACTCCTGCAGCCTTCCCACAATCCTTGGCTCCACAGCCAAGCCGTTCAAGGGCCCACCCTGAGATTTACCGACCCCATGCCACTTGCTAATCCTCTTAGGTGCCTTTGTGCAGCTGGCTTTATCAGCTTTGTGCAGCGACCTCTGGGTGGACTGCTTCCAATTCCTTACCCTCAGGGCAGGGAGTTTGGAAGAAAGTGCACCAGGGATGGGGGTTTGTGACAAGGCAGCGGCTTGTCTGCAGTTTCCCGGCATTGTGATGGGTGAAGGGAAAACCTGGGCCTTTCCTCCTGCTGCCCTCAGAGACATTCTCAGGACCACCAGATGCCACGAGGTGAAGCAGGACAGGTTGTCACTTCGCTGCTTTGGGGGGCTGCTGTCTGTGCCACAGGGCAGCTGAGCTGCACATCCCCCTGAATTGTGCATCTGTAAAGCAGGGGGACCAGGTGCTTCCTCTCTGCTCCGTGCCAGGAGGCGAGACCGATTCCCTAGTTCTCCTCTTTCCCCCATTCTGATCCTAAGGGGGCTGAGTAAACTCACCCTCCCTGCCTTCTGCTCTGTCCCCCGTGGGAGCTAGAGAACCTGCTCACTCCACTGTCAGTCTTATGAATCCTGGGATCTAAAGGGACCAGCTCAGTCTCTCTGCTTGGTCCCTCCAGAGCAGAGGTGGGGAACCTCTTTCTGACCCACAGAAAATCAGTGGGGGGAACACACACAAGTAAGAAGCAAAAAACAAACAAACAAACCAGATCCCCAAACCCTCACTGACGTGGCTCCCGACTGAGAAGGAGAAAGATGCTCCCCACATTCCCCTCACACACCACAGCCTAGGGGAGCCAGGCTAGTAGATTTTGTGTGCTCCAGCCCCATGGGGGCAATGGGGAGTTGGAGCGCCAGCATGGGCTCCCCAGTGTTGCAGGGGAGCCCCGAGGGCTAGATCCAGGCAAGCGGGGGCTGCATCTAGTCCCTGGGCCTTAGGTTCCCCACTCCTGTTCCAGGGAATGGACAGCAGGGTAGACATGAGTGACTTGGCTCCATAGCCAAGTCACAGTTGGGTTACCAGGTGTCCCGTATTGAACTGGATAGTCCAGTATTTGAGCTTTCTGTTCGGGAAACAAATTAAGAAAATATAAATGAGACAATAGAAAGGTCTGATATTTTCTAAATGAGCTGTAACGTAGATTGTGATGTAATGGCACGTGTGTCCAATATTTTTGTTGAAACCATCTGGCAACCCTGTATCACAGCCAGGGAGTGAGACACACTGGACAAACAAACAGAGTCAGCCAGAGCAGGAAACGAAATGAAAGAACCGCCCAAAGCAAGGATGTGGGTTGGGGCGCCATTTCAGATTGGGGAGGGAGGGTGAATGACCTCTGCATGCCATGATGGGGGCGGAGAGAAGAGAGTGAGAGACTGAGGAGAAAGGTTTCAGCAGTGTTACTGAGCATGCTCAGGACAAGCCAAGCACCAAATGGGGGGGGGAGCAACCCCATCCATCTCCCCCCCCCACATCATCTCTCTTCAGGGGCTACTAAAACTGGAAGTTGCTACTTTTTTGGCAGAGCACTTAGCAGGGAGCTGACAGGAGCACTGTATCTGATCTAATATATAAAGGAGAATGTTTGTGCTCGAATAACTTGGACACTATGGGTATGTCTAGACTACATGGCTCCGTCAATGGAGCCATGTAGATTAGGCTACCCGGCATAGGGAAATGAAGCGGCGATTTAAATAATCGCCGCTTCAT